ATTTGTTTACAGTGACGTCAACAAGCCGCTGTCAGCGGCTTTCCGCTCAAACTGCATATTTTATCCGCGCCGCTGTGAGAAAGAGTTAAGGGTACATTGTTTGGGTCGCACTTTACAACCCAAAACTATTATTGGTCATGTGATGCTTAGTGGCGTAGTTTATGTACAGCGTCTTGGAGAGAGGATGCCATTCATGAACCCTGAGCGAGCTAAACTTATAATTGTGTCCTTGTTGCCTTGCATGGATCAGATTCTCACATTTGCTAGGTTCTTCTTGGAACCAATATTTTGGAGCTTGTATTTTGAATTATCAATTCATTTTGAAATGAGCTGCAGAGCAAAGTTGCTATGCATGATCATTAAGACCATCTGTGTGACTACTTGCTTTAAAGCACTGAAGTGGATTATAGTCTGATCAGTGCTCATGAATAAAGCATAAGAAAATTATATTTTATTCATAAATTTTATTGAAGATCTTCAACAAACTGTTTCAAACAAATAAGTATTTCATATACATTTAAAGTTCTGTTTACCTAAAGAAACAAATTTCCTTTGTAGTTCATCCTTTGGTTTCAAAGTTCTCTCTAGAATCGAGCATTATTAGATTCATAAAAAGTTATAAACTGTATCGCGTGCTATACTGCAAGTAAGACATACAGTACTATAGTATTTTAATTTGAAAGCTTTTAATGCAGAAATCCGCAATTGTTTGGATGACGTTGCTAGATGATGATCATAACGTGTCGTGTCTAGCTTGCAATACGACTCCACAATGTTGTTCAGAAAAGTTATCCTTTTATTCCAGACTATACACACACCTGCAAAATAAAAGTAAAGAGCAAATAATAATACTGTACCTGTAATGATTTTTAAAGGCAATGTATAAACAAAAGGAAATTATTCTTACAATAACATACAATTAATTCACCCTCAGACCTAATACCCACCATCAATCCAAACCACAAATTGTGTACTGTATAGAAGCACGATCCAGACTATTTTATTTAACAAAAAAACATGTGACATGCCTAAATATGGTCATCATGACATCTCTTTATGACTATATATAGCAAATCATACAACAGTAAAGAAAATTTGTTAATTTTGACAGAGCTCTCCACAAAACATGTCCTCAGCTCTCATAATCATGTGTCATAGACCCACTACAAACATCAGAAGGAAGGAAAGTAATAAATAAGAATTTTGGAGATTTAAGGTTGAAAAACAGAATAGAGTAAAAAGAGCAAGTCTAGGATTAAAGATAGAGGTTTGCAGCGCTTTGGTCTCAGATTATTGTTCTCATCATCGGACAAAATACTTCGCCACAATGCTCGTCTAATAGTAATTTTTACAACAAAATTTTTATTTTTTAGAAAATTGTTCTTACACTTTTCTGGTCCTAATTCCTAGTAAGAGGCAACACATGTAGGAGACCCATCATAAGAAAACTATGTAGAGTAAAGTTGTAAAGTTTATTTATTTTTTATTGCTAGAACAGCCTTTGCCATAATCCCACCAGCTGTTACAAGTCTTGGTCCTCCAAATCAAAAACATCAGCTGCCATCTTGTTTTT